TTTCAGGTGATGGACTACGAGAAGAGGCTGCCATTTGCCGGAACTGAGTGACTTCCGGTCCACTCGAAAGGCAGACGTGCCAACACGAACCCCGGTTCACCTTTTGCTTCGATTTGGTATCTATGCACTGAGGAATATTACAATGATGGTTCAAGGATATTTACAGATACTTATATTAACTTTTAGTATCTTTTATTTTAAGTCAGATTATTTAAAAATATTTTTCTTAGTGCAAAAGTGTGCGATCCTCTTGCTCCATATTGACAAACAACACGTGTGACTGACTGATGGAGTGAGCGACTGAGTGAGTGACTGGCCCGGCAAGTGAATGAATGAATGAATGTACGGGTGGCTGCTTGGACGGGTGGATGGGTGGACGGATGGATAGATAGTTGGAAAGATGGATGGATGATGGGTGGATGGGCCACTGCGAGAGGGTGACGGGGCCCGTGGCAATCAATGTTATGTTTATACTGACGCTGGGGCGAAAACAAAAAAAAATCTAAAGATCGGAGATGTGAGAAATGGGGTCTGGGGGAACTGAAACCAGATTCAGGACCACAAATTGCTTTCAATTATGTTGCATGCGGCTGCTCCCGTTTTTATGCCTCATTGTTGACGTGTCTCCGGTTTGCATTTTTTTTTCCCCGCATCCGATCCATCTGGGCCATGTTTCGTGTTGTTCTGTGTTGACGATCTCCGAGTGCCACTGATCAAGTTGCGTATTTATCTTGCAACTGCAGCAACTGCACTCTCAACAGCCACATCATTGTCTCCATCATCTTTGTGGGTACTGTGGGAGGAAAAGTTCTTACATCTTTAAGATATAGGAGGATTATAAGCATAAGTAAAGTTAGTTTAGGATAAGACAGATCCTAAAACCTTTATTGGGTTTCAAATTTAATAAAAGCTTAAATTCTCTATAAAATACCTATCTTATTTTTACTACAAATTTGAATATTTTTGCTCCACTGTTCTCTTTTTTTTTTTAGATTTTTTTTATGACTTTGATTTTAAGCATCGGTTTCAACATTAAAATGTTCCATTATAAGACCACCGCTGCCGCTAGCCCCTCTAGCCCCCCTTCCAATCGAGAACCGCAGCAAATTACTTGCGGAAGTGTGCCACGCCCACTAAAGTGCATGTTTGACTCATCGTTGGGGGGAGTGGCGTGGAGTCGGAGGCCGAGATTGTCCATATGGGATTACGATTGAGTTACTCAACGCAGCGTAATCATCATTATCATTATCGTCCTCGTCATCGTCATCGTCATTATCGTGGCGATCTTTCTGTTTTGGCCCGGCCTGTCCGCATCCTTCAGATGCGTGCAAATTTGTGCTTTTAAAAACAAACTAAAGCGAAAATTATGTCAAACCTGTTGACCAGCCGTCCGACATTGTTCTCAGTCTTCACATCAACATCCACATCAGCATCTGTATCTGAATCTGAATCTGAGTTTGAGACTGAAGTCTGAAGTCTGAGTCTCAAACTGGACTGAATTGAGTAATTTGTTGCAAAGACAATTAGATGCAACAGATTGTTGACTAAGTGACTGAAACGTTTACAGTTGATTTTGGTGAAAGGAAGTCGAGCAGTCGTTCCACGAAGAATCCATGAAGACGTCTCTTTAGCCCGGGGGCGATCAGTTGGACCCAACATAACGATGGACCGCTGACAACCTGGATACACTTTTGAAAAAAGGGGGGTATTTAGAAAAAATATATATATAATATGAATAAAGCTTTAAAGAACTAACTTAAAAAGAGAAAATATAAGTGGATATTTTTCTAAAAATCTAAAAAAAAAAGCAGAATAGTCTTCACCGAAAATAGAGATCATTATGGAGGAATAGGGTAAAAGTATTCTTATATTGCAGACTCCAAGAAGAGAGTTCAATTTAGTTTAGAAAACAATAAAGATGCTATTTCAAGAGGAAAAGAATCGTTTTCGGGGCCCTTGTAGCACATTTCATAATTTTCGGCCAATTATGCGAAAATTGCCGGCCCAGGCCAGCCAAAACAAACAGACCTTGGGCCGAGTTAATGACATTGAATGGGGTCAGGCCCCGGCAATGACTACACCAACAACACCGGAGCCATCAACCCGAACAACAACAACAACCACATCACAGACAACAAAAAAAGCTACAAAAAATAAAAAAAAAGAATGAGTACGAATCGGAGAAAAGATTGCTGACAGCAATCAACAGTTTGTGGACTTGGCTCTTCTGCCGCATGTGAGTGTCACTCTGCCCCAAACCCCTTCGTTAGCCCCCTTTTGGCAGTCAGCAGTTTAAATGCTGGGAAATGATCAGGTGCTTATAGCCGACTAGATAAGGGCACTATAATTTTTATAATTCTTAATTCCTATAAGTATTTTTCAAAAACTTTGAATACATTTATCTATAGTTTGAAGTAAGAAAACTTAAAGTAAGAAAACTTAATCTATAAACCATATATTCTAATAGAAATCATATATAACACATTATTTTATAAATAAAATCTTTAAAAATTCAGAATATTTTAAGAACAACTAGATTGATTTCTATACTTAACACATTTAAGATCAGGTTCTTTATGAATTCCCCAGCTATCTTCTGATCTTTCACCCACTTTTCCCTCTAGTATATTCCACTTTTGAGTTAATATAATGGCTTAGTTCTTATCGATGCTTTAATTGACCGCTTGTAGAATGGGATATACCCGCTGGGGTTATAGATCGCGATCAGTGCCTCTCCCAATCTCTCCCAACACGTGCACATCAAACTCTACGCTTTATAATTGGTTTGCCGAGCTGCCAGCCAGCCAGCCATCCAACCATCCAGCCAGTTGGCCATCCAACCGACCAAGTCTTCAAAAACCCGACTCAGTGCACATCTGTGGGTTATGGCCAAGAAAAAGAGCCGGCCAGAAGAAGAAGACATGGCCAAAACCAACGTCAGCGATGCTAAGTGAATTAAAATAATGCTGCCGCAGACGATGGCAATGGTGATGATGATGTTTCTTGCTGATGATGCTGACTTGGGGGAACTCACCCCTCGGATCGGGGTACAGCCCCTGATGATTCTATTTATTACATGGCAAGCAATTTGCAATTCCTCGTTCGTTACTTTTTTCCGCTGCGTTTTAATTATTTGCCATGCCCGTTAGTTTTAATAAAGTTGCTAACTGTGAAAAGACGTGACTTGGCCGCTGAGCGAAAATGAGCATTTAATTCGCGCACAGCGAAAGTGTCGGTCTAGCTGGATGGTCGGTTCTATCCTCAAACCTGCCACCATCTGTCCACTGCCCACTGTCCACTGTCCTCTTCCCAGTGCAGCTTCCAGACCCCGATCCAGACATCTGATTAAAATCTCCGGCGTGTCCGGCTAAAATTCGCAGAAAATTTTTACACGCAACCATCGGCCGGCGGACAGCTGAAAAGTTGCAACGTTAACACCCATGCTTTTGGGCTCCAACTAGCCAGTGATCGTGGGGCAGGCGAAATTCATGCGAAATTTTATCACGCAAGGCATTTGAGCGACGCCATCTGATAAGCATCTGTGGAGCAAAAGGACCAGGGCAGGACCAGGCCCAGCTTTGCAGTGGCACTGGGGTTTTGATTCCGCGATCTCAGCCAGAAGATTGCAATCGCTCCGATATCGGGAAATTTTTTACGAAATTCACGCCCCAAAGGATCGGTATAGGCTTTATAAAAATCTTTAAAAATATTTTTAATATTTTAAAATATATATATTTTTTATTGTTTATGACAAAGTGTCTATAAATGGTTTAAAAACAGATCCAATCTTGAATCTAATTTTAAAAAGCTTACTGAATATTTTTATTTTTTCCATTATATTTTCCATTACATTCTTTTATTTTTATATTAGCAAATCTTTCTCAAATATTTTAAAATAAACTTAGTACTTAATTCTCCTAAATATTTAAATACTAAATGGCCAACCAGAACATTTCTTTTAAACAAAAAGCTCAGACATAAGCGCCTTGGTCTTATCTTCATCTTGGAATCTGTGCATCTCTTGCCCCATTCCATGCTCCTGCTCCAAGGCGCCTCGCCTTGCCACACTACAGCAAGGGGCGTGGTCGCTGAGGCAGGGCTAAGGCTTTTTTTGGTCTGGGTGCCAAGTGTTTGCGCCAAGCGTTGATTGTCCTTATCGCCCGGCACAGATCGCTGGTCGGTGCAACATGCGGCGCGAATTGCATGCGTAGATGCATCTAGAGATTGCAGATAGCACTTGCGTGCCAGTCTGGCAAAAACAGCGTTGAGGAGAAAATGGAAAAAAAAAACGAGAAGAGCCAGTGCCAAGTGATGAATGTCCGTGTTATGCGATCTAATGATCTAGAAATGAAGTTAATAAATCGTTTAACCAGATGGCACAATGTTGGCCAAGAACGAGGATGTGGTGGCTCCTGGGGTTTCTGTTTGGAATTCATCAGAGATGATTTTTTAAAAAGGGGATATACTTTATTTTTAAGATACATGTTTTTAGGGTTTTATTGATATAAAAAGAAGGGACCTGTAATAGAGTTACTTGACTACATGATACTCTCCTGAATCAGGACTATACTGACAGAATTGGTAAGAAATTATAGCCACAAAAAAAAAGCTAAAAACCAAATCCCTCTGAAACTAAGGCCAAGCCACCACCACTGCCACACTTGGCCCGTTTGGCAAGTGATCGACCACCGGGCCGAGCGACAATTTGCATAACTACTGCGCTTATGCTGCAAACATAACAAATTACAACGATTCTGCGTACATGCCGGGCCGGAAGAAAACGAGACGTTTAGCAAATATCTTCTCTTGGCCCGCCTAACGGGACCCGGTGGCTGCAACATGAAGAGCAGTGCAAACAAGGCCGGCCGATAATGCCCGGCACATGGTAATGGCCATAATGAGGCCACAACAAGCCAACCAACCAACCAGGCAAACATCAACTGGAATAATGCAAAGTAGCGTCTCCGCCAACAAGACAACAACAAATCACCACACATTCCTTTCCTCATTTTAGTTACTCTTTATTTAAAATTGCTTATACTAAGATGGATATTTAGGTTTTGCAAATATTGTGGCATTCGCAGTGGCTTATACTAATATAAATAGGCGGCAGTCGATTAGTGGTTGTTTGTTCGATGAAATCATAATGGATTCTTAAAAGCTGAAAAAGAAGAAATCCATGAGTTTGTGTTTTAAAGAAATAAGGGTTTTCGAAGAACTTACCTAAAGTATATATTTTGTGTAAAATAAAACGCAACATACCTCAAGTTAAGTGGAATCTGTAAGTAGAAATAATATTCTTAATTAGTTTAAAGTACATTAATTTTAAAAATAATATATTTTTTAATTAAAAGCTCAGTCACTAATTTACAATCAAATCATTTCATTAGTCTAACATATGTAAACACATCATTGCAATTTTGAAAACAAAATAGGGAGTATTATGGGTTTGGAAATAATAAATTACCTTAAAATGTTGAGTAGAGCTGCTTATGATGATAATTAGGTCAACCAGAACTATAAGTAAAAAATAATAAAGATTAATGATAGTTCTTATTATTAAGAGCATTATTATACTCGTATCTTTCTAGAGAATAATAAGAGTCTATTTAGTTTTTATCAGAAAATTATAACTTTACACTAATCAAGATCTTTCATAGGTGTCCCAAGGTAAAATCGTAAATCATCATATTAAAACTAAATATTTATTAAATCTTCTCCACCGACTTACCTAAATCCAATATAGGATAATCCCAGTAGATCTTTTTTAGTCTTTTCAGCAAAAAACCTAAAAAAAAAGATAAAAAATAAATTAGAATTATATTTAATATAATATTTAATCCCCAATTAAGTAAAATATTTAATCAGTTTTTAAAATTTACACAAATCAAGGCATTTCATAGGTGTCCCAAGGTAAAATAGCTATATCATCACAGAACCCTATCTCTATAGAGAGAATCCCTTCCCCAAACCCACCTTAGAAGGCATATCGCGTGCGTATGTCCTCCAGTTTCTTGCAGATCTGATTCGGAGTACGGAACATATCTCCGGCAATGCTCTTCTGCTTGGACGCATCTATGGACAGATACTGCTCGCAGAGGTCTCCGTCCAGGACATTCTTCACAGGATAGTAGGAGCTCCTGTAGCTGAGGTGATCGCGACCGCACAGTGGAGGATTCTCGTTGCGCATGTGCATCTCCAGGTGCTGGAAAAAGTCGTAATCCTCGCGACTGGTAAACGGAACAAAGGCTCCCACAGTGCCGCTGAGGGTGGAGTAGATCAGCGCCTCGGATCCTCCGGGAATAAGAGTGGCCTTCTGCAGCGACATGATGATCTCTCCCACGTGGAAGGAGCAAATGTTCTCCGACTTTTGGGAGGCTCCAGATAGCAGACCACGATCCCAGAGGGACTTTGTGCCGGTGGGGTCCTCGTCCACGTCATCAGTTACGGAATGCGGCAAGCGCTGGATGCTCAAGTTGCCAAACTTGTCGGCAATGGCAATGGTGTCGTAGTCCAGCAGGGTGGTGGCGGTCACCCAGCGAGGATGCGTGTCGTCGGCGAAGATGATCAACTGGTTCTCCGCCCGCCGATAACGAATGAAGAACACCGATTCCTGAACGTCCGAAACGTAAACACGGTGACCCATGGCCTGGATGTTGACTATCTGGTAGGGAATGTGCTTGTTCTCGCACTTGCGCAGCATTTTCTTCTTGCCCAGATCGTAGATTCTCAGCATCCGTCCACAGCCGGCCAACAGGCGACCTTGGAAGCCGCACAATGCCCCCGGAATCTCGTCGATTTCTGTGCGATGCATGAACTCCAGACTCGAGCAGGTGGGGTCTATCTTGTAGATGTCTATGCAGCCGCCCTGCGAGATCCTCGGATTCAGTTGCAGATCTTTGGCTATGCCCACAGCCAGGTAGTAGCGACCATCTGCTGCTATGGAGAACTTCAGCATGGCCATCGACATGATGGCCTCGTTCTGCGTCAGTGGCACGCTGAACATCGTCTGGCCATGCATGGCGTCCAGGCAGCGGATCTGGGAGGCCCAGAGGCCTAGACCGGCCTTGGGAGCGGAGAAAACGTCTTCGGGGAGCACCTCGTTGATGAAGGCGTTGGCCATTTCCCTGGCCAGCTCCCGTTCCTCATCCCCGGCAGCGCTGCGCATCTCTTCTGCCATCTGCTCCTTGCGGGCGTTCTTGGTGTCCTCCGTGTAGGCATTGTGATCCGTTTCCGCAATCAGCATGCGACCCGTATCCGGGTGGATGACGAAGGTGCGCGGTGTGTACTGGAGCGGGAAGGCCACTTGATTGAAAACGGCTCCCAGTTTCTCCAGAGCCAGAATTCTCAGGGTGTTGGTCGAGATGGCCACAATACCCTCGCTGCACTGCTCGCTGGAGAAGCCGGAGGCGTACTCCAAGGTCTCATACGAGAGAGGCGTCAAGTGGAAACGGTTCTGGTGGTAGTACGACAGCCAGGTCCTGCTGGACATGGCCAGCACAGCCTCGGAGCCCTGCATCTTGATCCGGAAGAGCTTCACCGGACGCGAGCCCAAGTAACGGGTCCTGGTGTCGGCCAAGTCGCCGGAAACTGGATCCAGTACGGTTCTCAGCAGCACACCGTTGCTCAAGCCAATGTTCAGATAGATGGTTCCCTTGTTGCTGCCACTGCGCTGGGCAGGTGCGTCCTCATCCATGCCTCCGGCATTGGTGGTGCTTTCCGTGTGACCCATTTCCACCAGGCAGAGGGACTCTGCCGGCGAGGGTAGGGCTTGCATGGAGCAGGGAGTGAGGCAGTTGTTCGGATCCAGAGACAAGATTCGAACTGTGTTGTCCGCCAGACCCACAGCCAAGAACCAGGAGCGCTGTTCTCCATCGGGAACAGTGCCCAGAGCCATGCACATGATCTCGGCAGGCATTTCCGAGCGCTCCGTGTATTCATTAAGCTCGCCAGTCTGTAAGAAAGAGATGCTGATTAGTTATCATTCCAAAACCGAATGAATATGATAGTTGGAAGATGAAAGCTCAGCACTGCAGGACACATAGTGTCTCAACATGATTGTTCTTTTTCGTGTTTCTGTCATCCTTGCAAGACCTTGATATAACTATATTACTATATAGAATGCTTACCGGATCCATTTCAAAGTAGACCAGCTCTCTTCCCGACAAGGTGATGACCACCTGGCGCTGATTGACTGCGCACTTGGTGATGGACTTCTTGCCCGGCGCCTTCCACTCGTTCACACGCTTGTCGGAGCGGATGTGCCGGATTCCATCGGGATAGACCTGGACCAGGGCATCATCGCCCAGGGCGGCACAGCACAGCGTGGGCGTGGTGCCGAGAAAGCCGCTGTCCGTGACTTCCTCAACGGTCTCTCCGATACTCAGCACCAGAGTGGCGTTCACGAAGGACACGATGATGTAGGCATCGAACTCGTCTAAAAATAGGACACAATACTTGGGCCATTAGTGGGTGAGTACCAGGAGGCTAGATCCAATCAAAATAGTTGCCTATCGGAGGCGACATTGAATAATCAGTTTATCAAGTTGAAATCAATGGAAATTCAGCTGAAACACGGTTGATAATTATCGCATCATATTCAATGTCGGCCTAATCTTAAAAGTACGTTCTAGATCGGTGGTGGTAGTGGGTAGTGGTAGTATCTGTTGGCTTATGAGCTGCTTGGAATGTTGCCTTACCTATCGCTTCACAAAAGACAATTCTAATTTAAAGAAACGAGAGGCACTTTTCTCAATGACCGTCTGTGTTTAAGCGCCTGAAATAAGAGAGAACTGGTGGTTGATAACTTGTGGGACTTGTAGGAAATCGTGTTCATAGCCTAGGTTTATACTATATATCTCGATCTGTATCAATGCACCAGTTGAGTTATTAGCCATTTTTCATTCTTAGCCTATCCTTAGTCTAGCAAACATAAGAAGTGTGTCTTCCACTCACCATCAGCTCGTTTCTTTACAGTCCAGACAGCGTTGGGGTTACCGGGCAGCTCGGAAACGGCCATTTCGGACACCTCGAGGCCGTGCCGGAGGACTCTCAGCGTGGAGCGAGGTCCCCTCCCGCACAGGACGTACAACTGGGGAGTATCTTCGTTGGCCAGATCAGCCACCTGACTGGTGATGATGGGAGCAAACGACGGCAGCTCGTCCACCAACACCAGGTTCTTGAGAGCACGCGGGGCAAAGAAGAAGGTCTCTCCCTCCTCCAGCGGCATGGCGGAGCTGAACTCGGGCTCGTCATCATCGTCACCCAGGTGGGCAATTTGGTAAAGGTAGCTAGCAAAGAGAACCAGGTCAGCAAGAGATCTGGATGGGAGTAGACTCGAAAACTTACTGGTTGCCAAACTCACTGGCCACGAACAAGAACCCCGTCTTGAGCACACACATGGCAGTGGCCGGAGGAACTGTGTCGAAGTACTTCAACTTGATCTCCGACACCACATCGTCGTCGGTTTCCAGTGTGATCTTGAATATGTCGCCCTGCTCGGTCTGGAGCAGGAAGAAGTACATGCTCTTGGTGCGATGGGTGGCCGAGCAAATGAAGATCATGCCCCGCTCCGGGTCATCGAGATCGTTCCGCCGGCGCGGTATGGGACAACGGATATCGTGTTGATCGCCGAGATTCTTGTAGGTCAGATAGTTCTCCGAGCAAATGAGCACACCCGAGGGACCGTCATTGCCGCCAGGAACGGAAACCAAGAAGTTGGCGTGTTCCTCCAGGGGTTCGGAGTACTTGCGGACGACGTGGTTCAGGCCCAAGTCCAGTTCGTAGAAGGTCAGGGTCTGCTGAGTGCGCTGGGCGGCGTCACCTGGAATTAAGAGAATACTGTTGGTAAGTTAAAGCTCCTAAATAATTCTTAATTAAATATTTAGAATTAGAACTAGTGTGGGTCACAAATCAGTGAAGTGTGGCCAGGATATTACAGCAACACCAATGGTTCAGTGATCGACATTCTTCTGGCGCCATTTTTGGACAGTGCTCGTGGTGGGAAGATCCAACGAGCCTGTGCTTATAGCGCCACCCAATCGGATACGATTTAGGAACGAACTCTTACCGGATGGATCCAAGTCGGCTTCCTCGTAGTCGATCTCCAGGCAGGCAAACATGGGATTATCGAAACCCACATCCACGCCCACCATGTGATAGGTCAGGGTGTTCGATTTGTGCGCCTCCAGGGGAGATGAGATCGTGAGGCGGGCCTGGGTGTCACGGTTCATGATGTACGCCAGCTTCTGCTTCTCCACGGCGCCAATCATCACGGCTCGTCCCTTGGGATCGATGGCAAAGTATTGGCCAGGGACAATGCGTCGGCATCCCGACTTGCCGAACGTCTCCTGGTGCACCTTCTCCAGGGCATTCTTCGAGGGAATGTACTCGAGGATCACAATGCGTCCAGAGTCAGAGCCCACAACGATGTAATCTAGTAAGGGACAGGGGGATTCGGTTAGGTATTTTTTAAATATTCATAAAAAATCTTAATTATTTATATTTTTAATTTTGTAACTCGAAGTTTCAATTCACCATTCCGGGCATTGTGGTTTATGGCAAATGCGACGCCAAGTCTTTGGTTTAATCTCGCACTTAGACACGTTTCTGAGGTCTTACTGGGGTCAACTACAAAATGGTTGCCTCAATAGGGATTTGTGCGGCTCCACGACACTTAGTTTCTACTTCGTTCTCACCTTTAGTTCCTCCCGTCAGTCGGAACGCCATCAGGGCACGAATGCATCCAAAGATCTCCGTGGACATGAGCGTGTGCACTTTGCCTGTGTTCGAGTCAGGTCGCAGGAGCTCCAGCGACTTGCCACGTGAGAGGAGCACCTCCTGCTGCTTGCCGCCGGAGAAGTTGCCGTGGACCGCGTGGGTCACACCGGTGCCCTTCTGCAGCGTCAGGTTGTACAGATACATGGCGGTGTTCTCTCTATAAGTACAGTTGAGGTTAGGTACAGTCTCGCACTAGAATTTCTCGAAAATATCTCTCGGAGTATTTTGTTAATTTGTACTACTTTGAAAACCATGGCCACAGTATGGGTAGTCGTGTCGCCTAACGATGCTAGTAAGTAGCATTAAGTTCTAATTTAGCACGCTTCAAATGCGACCAAAGCACAGACATTTCTGATTTCTGGAGATACTTCGTGCAAATTGGCCAGAATAGGACCAAATATATGTAGTAGAGGTGGATTTTGTTTACCTTTGGCTAGTTAAATGGGTGATTTAGCACATTTCACCAGCGATGCACTTGGATTAATTTTCACTGATTACAAAGCCGGCTCCATTTTTCACATCTGCTTCGTGCCGGAAAAAAATGAAAAAGACCTATGAACCTCGTGTTGCCATTCACGTTAACTCGCCGCATCCCAGGCTTGCCACCTCGTGGAAAGCGCTGCCAGATGGTCAAAAGTGGCGTCACGCTCTACACAATGAAAACCGCTATGTAAAAATGGCTAGATTTTCAAATTTCGGTTTTAAATATAATTTTAACATATTTATAATTTTAATAATTGTTTTCATTTTAAATTTAATTTTAATAATAATAATAATTTATATATATTGATAATATATATACCCCCTTGCAGAGGGTGTTGTAATTAAAAAAATAAAATAAAATAGAGTAAAATAGAGCTAGAAAGAGATTTTCTTTGGATTCTATTTTTTCAATTTTCATATGGATTGGCCGACTATATCCTATACAGTTACTATATCCTATATAGTTACTATATCCTATATAGATGCCATGCCATTATTAAAGATTGATGCTTGGGACTATTTTTTTTAGCCAAACTAGCCATTTTATAAAAAATCCCCAAAGCCTTCCATTTGTTTTTACTTTTAAATGATTATAAAAATTACAAAATTGAATGTGGATAAAGTTGCGGCAGTAAAGTGGTTTCTCCGTAAATCCAATTTCCCCTTAGGGCTCTTCGGGTTAATTTTGGACTCTAGAATTTTGGACTCCCTTCCATGGAGTCCTCGAAACGTAGGTATACATATGTATGTATACAGAGAGTGCCGATCGAGTAAAGGTACATTTTTATGAAATTTTATATTGTTTTTATGAAATTATATAGAAGTTTTATAAAATCAAAACCCAACTTTTGACCCATGATTATGTCCCCAACTCTAGAATAGGGTAGAATTTGTGAAATACCTTTAAATAAATAAAAATTACGAGGTGAAGCCATCTTACGCATCCTTACAAGTGCTGGAAGTGAATTTCAACAACATTTCAATTAATTTTACAATTGTGTTTATTTTCTCTTTTAGTCAATGCTCCTCAGAACACACAAAATGCGTTCGGGGCATCATTAATTACATTCTGTAAAACCTACTTATAAATTAAACTGCGGCAACAATACATTTTGCCAAACGGATGTACGATTTGAAGTGTGTATTTTCGATTCGTCGGTCTTGGGAATTAGTTAATGATTTTAAAACCACTGGGGGGGGGCTAAATAGAATGGGTATTGGGCATTGGGTCATTTGGGCAATCGTTCCTCTTTCATTTTTTGTACATAATGCAAACTGTATCCTCGGCTTAATGGTGGCTCGCTAATTTAGTCGCTACTCTTGTTTGTTTTTTAGGCAAAAGAACTTAACGGTAGGTGAAATACATTTAAGAAATACAATGTATGCAGTTAATGAATGTTTACTTGGTTTTAATGTATAATATTTTAATGGCTACGTACGTCTGTCTTGTCAGTGGGGGCGAGGAGTCTTCATGTTTGATGGTTTACTGTGTATGAGTCTCTCAATGTCAATGTGTGTGTGTTAGTGTATGTGTGTGTGTGTGTGTGTCTGGGCAATCAATCATCAATCGCACATAATAGTCTAGTCGGTCGTTCAGTCCAGCTTCTTCATGGATTTAAGGGCCCGCTCCCGTAGTTGCTTCTCCAGGTCTTCATTAATGACACCTGGCCCCGTACCGCCAGGCAGAATCAGCGGCAGCTTGCCGTTACCGTTTCGTTTGGTAGCCGATCCCAGGTGGTCCTCCTCGTCGCTGCTGCCTCCGGAGCTGCTGTCCGCCCGCGACTTGCCAGCACTGCTCTTCCGCTTGTGTTTCTTGTGCTTCTTGCTCTTCTTGCTATGTTTCTTGTGCTTCTTATGCTTCTTGCGCTTGGATGATGCTCCGGAGTCGCTGTCACTGGAGTCGGCCGCCTTCCTGGTCTTCTTGCGCTTCTTCTTGGAGATGGGCTCCTCCTCAGAGTCGCTGTTGTCTTCTGCCCCTATGCCAGCTTCCTCCCCGTCGTCCCGCCTAGGCTTCTTATGGCTGCGCTTGCGGCTGCTACTGCGCCCGCCCATCGACTCCTCGTCGCCGCTGGATGTGGTGCCCCGCTTGGGCTTCTTGTCCGAGCGGCGCTTGTCTTTCTCCTTCTCCTTTTCCTTCTCGCGCTCCTTTTCCTTGAGGGCTGCCGCTTCCTTCTCCTTTCCTTTCTGCAGCTGCTTCTTTTTCTTCAGACGATCATCTCCACTGGAGTTGTCCTCGTCGTCGCTCTGGTCGCTGCTGCTGGAGCTTCCGGAGCTGCGCCGCGCCTTGCTCTTGGACTTTCCTTTGGCAGCTTCTACCGGCTTCTTGCGACGCGGCTGGTCTTCGCTGTCGTCGCTATCCGCGCTGCTGTCGGAGCTACTGCTCTGGCTCTGGTCGCGCGATTTCTTTGGTGCCGCTTTGGCCGCAAGGCGCTCGTGAGGCTTAAGGAACGGAGATGGAGTTCGTGACAGGCTGGCGAAGGCGCTCTCCTTGGCCTCGTCCTGATCCACCACAATGACTGTTTCTACAGGCTTCGATTTGCGTTGTTCCTCCCGACAGAGGTCGATGGTGTTGACTGCCGGGCCGGTGAACTCCACCGAAGATCGTTCTAAAATATGGGAATTAGTGGCCAGGAATAAAAATAAGTCACTATATCAACTCACCAATTGGACTATCACGCTTGCGACTGCGGCGCGGGCTAGAGCGGCTACGGCTCCTCTGATGACTTCTCGGCCGGCTATGGCTGCGACTACGACTGCGACCACGTCTCTCCTGGGGGCTGGAGCTGCGCTGCCGGTGCGGTTGTGGTTGGCGTCTGCCTCCACCCTCACCGGAGCTTTCGGATGTGGAGCGTCGGTGTCTAGCCGGTGGCGGGTTATCCCAGCGGTTCACGTGGCCACCACCACCGCCTCCAGGGGAGCTGCGTCTTTCCCTGGAGTTAGGTCGCCGGTCACGGGATCCTCGACGCTGTTGCGGTGAGGAGAAGCGACGTCCTGGACCTGAGGGCGGCGAAAACTGCTTGCGGAACGGCTGGTGCTGCATAGGGGACTGCCTGTGGTAGCGGTTCTGTTGGGGAGACTGGCGGCGATCGAAGCGGCCCATCCCACCGCCTCCGCGGCCACCGCCAACGGGACTGTGTCTAGCCTGCCAGTGAATGCGGCCGCCTCCGCGGAAGTTCGGGGATCCGCCGCGATGCTGCCACATCTGGCGATGACCGCCCATGCCACGGCCGCCACCACGACCTCCGCCTCTGAAGTTCATCATGGGCGAGCGACGGCGATTGTTGAAGCTGTTAAAGAAAGGCAAGGATTAGTTTGGAGATAAATGGGAGATGGAAAGTGGAACTCACCGCCTGGGGGAACGGGAATAGCGCATGGGCGAACGAGAAAGTCGTCGTGAGCGGGAACGGCGCCGTGAGTTAGAGCGCTGGAATCGATTGCCTCCACCATTGTCCTGTCGCATGGGGCTGCGGCCGCGTGGCGAGAACCGTCTGCCACCTCGGCGACCACCACCACCGCCGCCGCCAAACTGCCTTCCTCGATCGTTGCCCCGCTCCATCGAGCTGACCGAGTCCCCGCGATTGTTGCGGTACTGGCGCTTGTTCTGTACGCTGTTCTTGTTGCGTCGGTGCTCGAACTGATCCTGTTGGCGCTCCGGGGACAGCGAGATGCTGCTGGAGCGGGCTCGGCGACGACTGCGCGGCGAGGAGCTGCGAGAGCGTGACCGTTTATTACTAGCCCGGGATCCGGAACGGGAACGGCTTCGCGGAGATCGGGATCGAGATCTAGACCTGGAACGTGAGCGGGAGCGCGATCCCGACTTCTTCTTGGCCGGTGGCGACTTATCCGTAGAGTGGCGGCCGTTGACAGTCTTGGTGTTAGCGGCATCCGCGGAGCCTGACTTTTTGGGGGATCCCTTGGATGCGGAGCGCGACTTCTGGCGGGACCGGTTTGGAGATCGTGAGTGGGGACGGCCACGGCTTGGACGCCTCTCTCTCGATGGGGGTCTGCCGGTCGAGGAGCCACGCTTTCTGATCCGGGCTGCCGCATTGGCAGCTGCCTCGCGGGCAGCACTGGGAATACCCCCGTTGTTGGCTGGCTTTTGCGAGCGGGACCTGGAGCGTGAACGAGATTTGGACTTGCCACTGTCCTGGGAGCGGTCACGCTTGCGATCACGCCGGGAACTGTCGCGTTGGGATCGGGAGCGCGACCTGGACCGCGATCTGTCTCGCTGTCGCTGGTCCTCCTCGCGCTTCAGAATCTCATCCTTTTTCTGTTGTATGAACTCGGCCGGAATCCCGGATTCGCTGTCTTGGGCGGAGAGCAGCAGAGCCCACAGCTCACCCATGAATTGGCGGGCATTGCGACCGTTGAGGAAGCCGGTCATATTGATCTGCATCTTCTTGGGGCAGGGATACTTCTCCTCCTCCAGCTGATTGTAGACGAACTCCACCACCACATCGTCCTCGATGTGCAGGATGTCGGTAATCTTCTTGCTGATCCACGGCCGCAGCACGTCCAGCTTCACTTTGGACATGTCCACCCGCTTGTTCAGGCAGTCACCGAACTTCATCTGCTTCATCAGCTTCTTCTCCTTGTCGCTGAACCTGGTATCCTGCTGCTGGTTAGTCCCCTGTGAAAAGCGCAATGGAGATGGAATCGGAATTTCAATATAGTTGAAAATAGGTGAGTGGATGGATAGGCGAGAAGAAAAAAGGTGGAGAACGTTTATCGATTGGTGTGGGGCTCAACTTACCCCCGCGGACCAACTTACCGTGAACATCATCTTGGCTTCTTTTCGTTGGTACTCTCCGAGATTCGAGTGCTGTGCCTCCGATTCGTGCCCGGCCTAATCCAAGCGCATTTGTTTGGGCCGTTTTCCGAAAAATTCAATAAAAATATGTAACCCGGCACCACGCAAGTCAATTGTCTACACGCACACACACAGACGCAGCGTCTTTTCGCCGTATATGTGTAGAACCGGGATGCGTTGCGCTAGCCTCGCGCTAAAAGATCGCGCTAAAAAGTATATATGCAAACGAAACACACTCGATACTAGCTTCTATTAGATTACACCTGCCGCAGA